GAAAAAAAATTGATGAATTAACAGCAAATAAGGTGAATAAATCTTTGTTTCCTATGAGAATATAAACTATTCAATATTGGTTTTTTTTAGCCATCGACATCATCAAATTTAAATACTTCATCAAATAATAAACAATCAGAAGATGTAACACCTAAACCAACTCGACCACAAGCATTTGCTGCACCTATGACACAGTTTGTTATTTGTTTTTTCTTTAGAATTTTTTCTAATTCTGATTTCGAATAAATAGAGAACCAGCTATTTCTCGTGTTGCTCCAATGGCTCCGTTAACTGGTCGTCAAATTGGTGTAGCTATACCAATGACAGCGTCAGCGACACCAACTACGACAAGTACACCACTTTGGACTAATACTGCATCAACAACGGCGGAAACAACTACCTCACGTATGTATTATGAATATATTCAACGATATATTATAATGACTCTTTAAATAGAAGCTGCAGCATCAGTTGAACATCCAACAACAACTCAAATATCAACACCAGCTGGTGTTAATTTATTAATGAAACGTACAAGAACTGATGATAATGATCATAAGTATGTATAAAGCTATATAATAATAAGAAAATTATTTTGTTATCAATTTTAGGTCAACAGAATCTACACTTAAACGAACTAAAGCAGAAACAGAGGTAAATATAAAATACTTATTTCGAGCAAGTAACAATTCTCTCAAATGACTAGACCACATGTAATAATAATTTATAGAGATACAGGAATTCGCGAGGAAATTAGATTAAATACGAAAAAAAATTTCAATTCTTATTCATTTCTATAGACTAACCCATTAATTGCTCATGTTGAACCACAAGTACGTGAACAACAACAACAACAACAGCAACAAATTCCTTCTCAAGTAAATATTTTTTTTGTTTTGTTCATTGATCGTTAACTTAATTTTATATTTATTTTTAAGGAACAACAACAACAAGAAACTATGGAATCAAGTAAATAATTAATAAAACAAAAAAAAATATATCTTTATTTTTATTTGCAGATGTGATAGATACAACACGAACAGATATTATACCGGTATAATATTTAGAAAATAAAAATATTTGTTATTTTTCATTAAAATTTGAACTATGTATTTAGATACAAATTGATAATGAAGGAATTCATGGTTCTGTTGAAGAGACAACTTCACTTGATCAATGTAATGAAATTTTATCTTTACGTCAAGTTTTATTTATTTTTTATTCTTCTTTTTTTAAGCAATGGAAGGTGAATCTCGATTGAATATTACTAATACATCATCAACAAATCTTGATTCAACAACGACAACAACAAATGAATCAACAAATATCACTATGGAACAATCAAATGATCAACGTCGTGATATTTTACCGATTGTCTATGATGTTCAATCAATTCCAACTATCAACACTGGTGGACCGCCACAAATAAATCGTGGTGGTGTTGGTCGATCACGTCCTTTTTCAAGTGGTATGTTAATTTAATAGAGAAAGAATATGAAGTTTTAATTTAATATCAAAATCTGTTTTTTAGTTCCAGGTACCCGTCGACCATGGCCAGCACGAGGTGGTGGTATCGGTAGTGGAAGAGGAGGCATAGGTGGACGTGGAGCAGGCGGTGCCGGTGGCGTTGGCCCATCCGCACGTCAATAAAACATTCAATTTTTTTCTTTTTTTCTTCTCCTTTCTTTATATGTGATTGTGTTATTATACCAAATGTATAATCTGTAGTATGTGTATTTAAAATCTCGTTCTCTCTTCTATACGCTTCGCTTTGATTTGTTCATATCAGCGTAAAACTATAATGTTCTACATTGAAATACAAATTATATTGGATTCAAATAAGATCTACTATACATGGTGACATTTACTCACAACAACTATATAAGAAAATAATATATTTAACTTTAAAAGAAAATATCTGATAGTTTTGAAAACAATTCGGGTATTACAATCGTAAAATGTATCGATTTATACTGAAGTATGGATACTGATCATTTAGCAGTCTCTTTACCATTATATACAAATAAATCAATTTGATCGTATTATAATAGGAGAAAATTGTTTAAGCATATAAAAATAATTGATATGTTTCTTTTAGCCATTGTATTCGATTAATTTATGTTCTCTCTGACAAAAATTGAGCTAATTGAAAACATCCTGCAATATTGTAGATATTCTATTTATTTTACACAAAAAAAGCTGTAAGTTTTCATCGATAGCTTTAGAATCTTTTAAATATGCGTAGAATAATAAGTATTACGTAAAATTTATAAAATGATTTCCCAGTTCACTACGATTTAACCTATATATTTAATCGATCGGTACAAAGGAAAGAACATGTGATTATTTATTGTTGACGTCATGAATATAAAATATATTATCAAAAGAAAAAGAAAATCGTTTTCGTAACTATCCATCCATCATATTATGATCAACAGACAAAGTCAAAGTAAAAATATCTATCATAATCATTTTTTTAAGATTGTATTGTACAGATATAATAGTTGTTTTTCTTGGTATTACGAATTTTTACAATATTGTCTTTGTTTATTCTTGAATCAGTGAAAAATATAACATCATCGAATAGACGAGATCTTATGACTATCGCAGTAGTTGTGACTAGAAAGAAGGTAGAGAGCTTCAATTGGTTCTTCTGAGTTTTCTGACAGTGAAAATAATGATCTCTAGAACTTTCATTACAACTGTTAAGAAAAGTTGTGAACACTTCTCATAATTTTCGTCTCTAAAAAGTTCCAAGGAAATATGTTGAAAAGTATAGGATATATCACTAATTGTATGCTGATAATATTAGACAATCAATAGTAACGTTTTCTCTGTAAAATGAAGTATAATAAAATGACTTTGAAAATCTATTACTTTATTTTTTCCCTCTGTCATACAGAATTTTTTATTAATATCTCTATTTCTAATTTTCGTTCATTAGACACTAGCTAATAAGATTGCAAGAATGATCTAACATTAAATAGTTGTTATATTTTAAGAACTGGCTTCTCAAACTAACTTATTGATAATGAACAGAAAATATTCTATCATGACTAAGTTATATTGAGAAACTAAAAAATTATACTCTATAAAATAGTATTGAATTTGTAAGGTTTCCTTAATATCAGAAAAAAAGAAATATTTGACAGAATGTGTCACAATAAAATATAGTAGAAAATTTTACTGATCTATTTCATACTTCTTAATATATTTACTAATAATTGTTCTTTGTCTAATATAATTATCTGTATATGAAACATTGTTATATCATTTTGATCCAAATAATCATATACTACTACATCATGTATTTTGTTTGTTTTTAATATAGAAAGAAACAGAAAAAAAAGTAAATAAAGGAAAAACGGATAGGACAGGTATGATCAAAGTAAACAGACGACAAAGAAATTTATATTTTGGTGTCGTCTTAGGATACTACGAGGATGTTTATTGTTTTTTTCCTCCAGTTGCATCGTCATATTTTGAACCAGGAAAGTCTTCATG